GAAGCTGTAAGCACAAGTACAATTGCTCACACACTCAACAACCAAACGATGCCTCTCCAGGGGAGTCCTGACACAGTGGTTTTTTTTTTTTTTTAAAACCTCCACAGCTTAGTGAAGATGCTTGGGAGATGCGCAAGCCACCTCCCTGGGAAGAAAGTTCTGCAGTAATTACATGCCACCAGAAGTCTCCCTCTCCCCTGTGTTATCTCAGCCCTCACTGGGCCATCAAATTTCCTTCCTCATCTTTAGCAGGAGCCTTGCAACACCGTCACTTCCTTCCACCACCATCCCTCCCACTAGAATTTCTGCAGGTAGAAATCTCTTCTACCCCAGCCCTTTGCAGGCAGATTCCCTCCAGCTTTCACAGTGGAGCCAACAGGAAAAGAGGAGGTCACATACCTGAGCCCTAAAAAGCACTGCCTGCCTTTTAGCAGGAGACTCTAGACCCTACTGCAGCTTTAGTCACACACACTGCCGCTTTCCCTTCTTTACATACAGTCCCTGCTGCCAAAATACAATTACGAGTTCATCCACCCACATCCCAGAACAGCTCAAACAGCCAGTCACACTTGCACCAAAAGGGGAGAGGTAAGGGCAGGTGTGGGCACACATCCCACCAGCGAGCTTGTGGCCATAGATAAAAAGGACATTTAATCACCAGACCTGGTGCAGAGTATCTTGCTTTGGGTTTCAGCTGGTGGGCTGGTAATACAAGGCGATAGTCTCACATGCAAGTCACCCCCCAATCCATTTTCCTTCCTCAATATCCAAACAACAGCTCGGTGAGAAGAAAAAAAACACAGTAATGTAAATGATGGGTTATTGCTACATACTTGGGAATTTGTCATTATTGTAAGGCATGGGAAGGGGAGGTGTTAGACACGTGATTCCCAGGGGAAGTCTTGGCCCATGGACTTGGTATTTGACTTGATATACCATCCTTTGCTTTTCTGCAGCAATAAACCACGTTGCCACCTCACAGCTACGCTGGCTGTCATGAACGCTTACTCCCAGGAAAACAAAAAACAGTTTGCTACAATGACCCTGGGCAGCCAACGCCATCTAACCCAACAGGGAAGTTTGCTTATCGCAGGATGCAGTGTAAATACAAAAAAGATTTTTTGGGGAAAGTGGGATAGGGTCTGAATTTGCTTCTCAAACACTCCTCGGTGTTTTTAGCCCACTAATGATGGAGACCAAAGTAGATTCCAATCCAGATTCTGAGTGTCCCTGTAGTGCCCCACTGAGAGCCCTGGGGTATCTGGGATAGGAGGTCATGGACATAATTGGCCCCATGTCACTTCCCCCCTCCTGCAGTTTTCTCTGTTAACCTCTTGCTGGCTTTGAAATATCTGTACAATAACTAAATCACAAAGTCTTAGCAGAGACTCCTTTCAACAGTCAGGTCTTTATTTTAAGTGAACTTCTGCTCAGACTCCTTTGGTAAAATATAAGATTTGAAGAAGATCAGGGACAGACTGACAGCACGGCCCTTCTCTTACACTGTTCTAATCAGCTACGAAGCAGGTTCCATTGCTAATTACTGAACGTTTTTAAAAAAATCCTTTCATATACAAAAAGAATACACCAAGTACATAACCAAAAGTGATATAAAACTCTTCTGTGTAGCTTGGTTAAAAGGGTCTCCGCGTATTGGCAGAACAAGTATGAAAAGAGCACCATTGATAGAATATACAGTCAGACTATGTATCTGGTTTCATTGCCACACTTTATGTCTACACATAGAGAGACACTGCCCTGACACAAATGCAGATAATCACAGGTGCATCTCTCTGCTTCCCTCGATCCGCTGAGCATCTTTGGCCCAACAGGACTCATGCAGGTGGAAAAACAAATCTTCGCTATCTTAATTTGCTCCAAGCAACTTCACCTTCCCCAGGATCCAGAAGTGACCACTGCAACGTACGTGGAAGATGAGGGTCAAAAAGGGAGGGTGCGAAGGAGCACATGTATCATCCAAATCACTGACAGCTTCTGGCATCAGTCTTTTTCCCTGAATCAACAAATGCTTCCCTCTCCTGCAAACTACTTTACATGGTTTTGTTAACCTATCCTCTGCACAACAATATATATATATAGATATAGAGATTTTTTTATTTATATATATGTATTCATGTCAAATTTTTAGGGAGGGTGCGAAGGAGCACATGTATCATCCAAATCACTGACAGCTTCTGGCATCAGTCTTTTTCCCTGAACCCTGAATCAACAAATGCTTCCCTCTCCTGCAAACTACGGTTTTGTTAACCTATCCTCTGCACAACAATATATATATATAGATATAGAGATTTTTTTATTTATATATATGTATTCATGGCAAATTTTTAATATACTCAAGAAGATACAAAGCTCTTGGTACATTTTTTTTTAAAGTTTTTAAATTTTTTTTTACAAAAATTTTAGATGTTTACTATTACAGTAATATTTTGGGGGAGGTGAGGTTGTTGGATATTTCCCCTTTTTAATTACAAAGGAAACGGCAGGCACTGAAAACTGCAAATGATGTTTGCTAGATTCAAAAATGTGCTTTCCAGTCACACCGTTTTTAGGAGCTTGTTTAAAACTAAATGTGGCGATCAAAGAACAGTGGCAACCAAATAAAATCAGCAAAAGTCCTCTGATGCTACTAGTGAGACATTTGCTTCCTATTCTCATCTGCTGCCCTCCCTTGACCAATGCCTGGAGAAAATCAGTGATCTGAAGTCATTTAGTTCACGGCATTACCAGATACCATATATGCAGAGTACGTTCTCGTGAGGTAAAAATTCCCCCTTACACAAAGCAGGCCTTGGCATCTTAGAGGAGAGCCGTTGCACATGGGTGATTTTCACACCAAATGAAATATGTAATCTCAAAACAAAACCAAAGGAACACAGAAATCATGATGATGATGATTTAAAAAACGCCAAACCAGTTCCCTTGTGGCATTTTTCATCAGGATCTATAGCCCAAAGCAAACATGGATCCAATAGTGACAAATTTGCCATCAAATATAAGTGACAGACCCATCTAAAATTTATAGCGTGTTCAAAATAAGACATCCTACAAAAAAAGCTCCTATTTTCTTCCAATGCGTTAAACAGCTATGGCAAAAGGAATTGTTAATCATCATCAATGCAACGCTGGTACATTTAAAATGTAAAAGCTCCTTACTGCAATCTCTGAGAACAAGAAAATAAAAAGCCAGCCAACTCCATTTCTCAGCATAGATTTCTGAACCAGGAACACTGAAACCTTCAATAAACTGCTTTTCAGTATGTGGAAATAAAAACAGAGCCATTACAGAATTCAAAAGGCAGAAGTATTATACACCAGATTATAATGATAATATAGCACTGTGATTGATATAGCTTACTCTAAAAGCAGATTATACAGCTTGCATCAATTTTGTTATCCACTCTCCAGTTCATTTGACCAGCGTTTAATAGTTTTTGTTCTGCATTTTCTCCCTTCATTGAAATCCAATAAACCCACTCAACATTCCTGCACTTTCTGTGGAAATAATAAGGAAAACCTAAACATTTTTCAAAAAGCCTTTAAAAATGTTAGATTCACAGTTCAAAAGAAATCCCCCAAAACAAAAAACAAAACAATGAGCCCCGAACCAGAAAAGTGCTATTATCTTCATGGCTACACCTACGATATTATTTCAAATATTCTGCAGTTTCTCTTTCACTTGTGAAGCTGTCGTCTTTGATGCCGCATGACCTTCACTTCTCATACTTGGCACCATCCACACATAAGAGTCACCTAAGAACGCAGCCAGCTAGATGGAAGCTTGGATTCTCTTCTCTTGCTTTCTTTCTTCTTGCAGGAGTGGGAGGGAGGGGGAGGTGGTGGCTATTTCTGGTGGGAATGTAACTGAGTTAAAAAGCAAATTGTCTCGCTGTAAGGCATGGTGCTCCGGGGTTGGCAATGGCCGTCAGTTGTGTTTTCTCCCTACATCCCCCTACAATCTGCAGCCTGGTCAGTGATGCAGCGCCCTCCAAATCTGAATGGCAGTGGTGACTGATGAGATCCTCTGTGTCGATTCAATGTTTGTTTCTCCCCCTCAATTAAAAAAAAAATGTGGTTGGACTCTAGCCCTGCAAAATAAAGTCAAAACTGATTAATACCAGCAAGTAACATGACCTTGGTGATCTCCATCACTCAGTGGTAGGACAGTGACTGGAAATGCCAATCTAACTCCAATATATGGGTTCCTTGACGGGTATGACTGGGAGAAAACGAGCACAGACTTCATTTTTCAAAGTCTGTACCCCACCTGTAAGCCTTCACTGCTCAGAGGAGGAGTGCAGGAGTGAAGCATACAGGCATTGCACACACACATTTATCTCTGCCCTTTGGCTACGCCAACAAGGCTGACCACGCAGTGCTGACCAGCTGTGGGAAGCCAACGGTGCCAGGGCCTGCTCCGTGGCTACATAAGAGTACCTGGCAACGCTGAAAGACTGCTCTGGGCAGGTGCTTCCAACCCAGGAACAGAAACAATCTGTAAACACTTAGCACTTAGACTAGACTCTTAAAAGAAGGAGGGGGGGAAAAAAAAAGCCAACACCACCACCCAAAAACATCCAGGAATTTTCTCTCCCACTAATGCATGCGATTTCCATGTAGAATTATGGGGGTGGGTGATGCTCCATGTTTTGGAATTTGGGCCTTTAAAGGCCTATTGTCGACTCTGATGGGAAAGTTGCCCAGTGCCTTCCCAACAGTAACTCTTATTTTCCTTTAGTCATAGCCAGGGGCACAAAACCTGCTGTTCCAAATGTAGCAGCACATCTGATGGAGTGCCAGAAGGTATAACCGGGGTAGAGGGCTGTCTAGCAAGACAGCAGGAGACAGATTAGCAGTGGCAGGAGTGAAGAAAGGCCAGTGACAGTACTGAGGAACTTGGCACGTGGCAAAGGCGGAGAACTAGAAAGCGACAAAAAGACACCTTTCTTTAGCGACAGGAAAAAAAAAAGGTATTGAGAAGTGTGAGCTGTGGGTCAATGTTTATTGTGTAACCAAAATCATCTCTTCTTGCAAAGTAACTCGTGTACAGCCAGCAGCTTTCCTGCAGATGGGCAGGGCTGTGTAATTCATGGGAACCGCAGGGGACATCCATAAATAGTCAAGGATATGCTTTTCCTTAAGTCTCAGGCTAATCCTTATAATGAGCATAGAGGGAAAAAAACAGTTGGAAGCAGGAACACACTATTCAAATTCATTCCCATGGCCTAACAGCTGAAATCTTTCACATTTCAGCTGACAACCAATCATTCCCGATATTAATTTTCTGCCTGGTTATTTGACAGGTTATTTTTTAATCAAACAGTGGTGATACACTGAATAATATAAACACTTTTTTTTCAAATGCATTTTCATTTGTCTGAAAGGACCCAGTTAGCAGTTAGCCTTGAAGAGATTCCACAGCGATACAGATCGTGCACGAGACAAGTTAATCACTAGCACCAATTACCATTAAAAGGACCTACCATGCATGCAAATTAGACCCAGGAGTCAACAGGCTGGGGTTTAATGTCACGGGCATCCACCAGATTCACCGAAGCCCTGTTACTCCTGTTAATGTTTTTCCTATTTGTGTCATTCTGCAGCACAGGGTGAGGAGTTAAAGGCAAAACAGAGCGGATTAATCAAACAAAACCACCAAACAAGTCAGCTTAAAGGAGCACAAGGGAAAATTAGTGGTAGAAAAAGAAACAAGATCAGCAAAGGCACAATACTGACAAAAGCATCTGCAACAGCCAAAAGGCTGCACTTCCCTGCCATCGTTATTCACAATTCTCAGCCACTCTTGAGCCTCAGAGCCATGGTTATCAAACAGTTCACAAGCCACGAGACCCCACAGATATATTTCTGTTTCACAGCACAGGGAGAAGGATGAGTAGCAGCTACTCAGCTCTGCCCAACTGAGGGCATGGCAGCGCATACCTTTGATGTGTACAACAGGCTGAATTCAGGTTACTCTCTGTCCTTAAAACCAAGAGGCAGCGCAGACTATAGGAGACACATTGTCGAGGTGAAATGTTTTTTTCTCATGAAAGCAAAGCAGCTACTCACTGAACTCTGGGTTGTGCTTCACTTCAGACATACACTGGAGTTTGGGCTGCTTGATGTGATTTTGAGGGTGGTATCGGACCACTTTAATGAATTTTGAGTGGCAAAAATAACAAGTGTTTGTTAATTTTCCCGCCTTAGCCTATTTTCCTTAGAAAGACATTTTCTGTCAAGCTCCTATTGATCAACATTCTTATGTCACTCAGTGCATCCATTCCCACTGCATCCTTGCAAAACATCAGAACTGTGATGAGGGAACCAGAAGGTTTATTTCATTGGCACTGGTTCAGGCAGGGCCATCTCCTGCCACATTGGAGCAGGGAGGCACACTGCATGACTTGAGTAATCAGCTCAGTTTTATCAGTTCCAAAAACAAATGAAGGAGCGCAACCACCTCTACCAAAAAGTCCAGCTGGGCAGCCTTCAACAGGGTGCAGCTATACCCAGAACTGGCAAATTGAAGAGCGTGATCTGTGCTTAAAAAATGTCCAGCTGGATCAAGGCCATTCGCCAGGGTACACCTTCACGGAAAGGCAGGACACAGCAGGAAAAGCATGACCAGGCAAGTTAATATAGGCAGGCTGATGCAGCCGGACATCTTCCTAATTCATGATCTACGGAAATATTTTTCTCCAAATCACATTTTTATTTGGCTTGTTCAATAATAGTGAGTTTTCCTTTCAATTGACTGAAGTTTAATTGTTTCCACTGAACATCAATCATCTGGATTTTCTGGTATTATCAGCAACGTGCTGAAGGTTATTAAGGACAGCCTTCTGCACACTAACAATGGTGTTTCCTACCACTGACTCCTGTCTCCCTGAATCCTCCTCTTCTTCCCCTTCCTCCTCAAAATTACTTCCCCGGGGGAAAACACAAGCTTGTTTTGAGGCCAGGGAGAACTGGCTTAATGCCACAGCATTAAGCGACTTTTAAAAAGGTCTGCTGAAAAGGTGTAGCAATGCAACGGAAATTACACTGAGCCTACTAAGCCACATTTGCACACAACCCACAATACAAAGAGCTTTGTGAAGTAAGTTTGTTTTTTTTTTTTTAATTAAAGTTGTCTAAATTTGTTTTTAGAAGGCACACACATAACCATGCATGTGTCTCCCACCCTCTCCATCTCCTTGGCCCGTGCCCATAGTCCACCGTCAGGACTGTGAGTGAGTGTTGGGGAAACGAATACTGTTCACCACACTGCTGTACACAGACACACAAGCTCACACCTACTTCTCATGCTGAAAACAATAAAGCAGTGTGACAGTCCGAAGTGACTATTCTCAGAACAAAGTCTGAGCACAGTTATACATTTTAGGGCTAGAGAATGCTGCCTGGACAGGGGTGACGGAACAAATGCTTTCTATTTTTACAACCTCATCCATTTTCAAGAATACAGTGATTGCCTGCATTTGCGCCTGCACTGGAAAGCAGCATTTTGTTTTTATTTCTGGTTAGCCAAGTGCTAAGTTACAAAATGGTGTCTTTATCTTTAAAAAAAAAAAAAAAAAAAAATTTCAAGAATACAGTGATTGCCTGCATTTGCGCCTGCACTGGAAAGCAGCATTTTGTTTTTATTTCTGGTTAGCCAAGTGCTAAGTTACAAAATGGTGTCTTTATCCTTAAAAAAAAAAAAAAAAAAAAAAATCCCTTTACAGCCCCCTGGTGAGTAACTACCCTATATTTCTTGCTGAGGACACCAGGCTTCCTTTCTTTTAAAGGCATTGACTAGCATTCAGCAGTAAAAAGGAAGCTCACTTTTAAAGGTTCTTTCTCCGAGGCATCCCCTGTGTTATCACTGGTCTTGTATTTGCGCTCCTTGTCCCGGTGATCGATGGTGGAGTACCCATCTGAGGAGAAATAACATGACAGTCAGGCATGAAGCACAAATAAGAGCAAAAACAGAGCTGATGCCAGCAGAATTCTTCAGCAAAGAAACAGGAAAATAAACCCTCACAACCCAAAGATGTTGGCAGCCTCCTTTTCACATGCGCTCCAGCTCTGAAATTTCATTTTTACCAGCTTAAAACAAAACAGAAAAGCCCTCTTTTTGTATCACTGCCAGATGCTGGCGCTCATTAGCAGGCAGCATTGTTTTAATCCCAGCCTGCTGCAGTTTTTAGTGTGCCCAAGGAAAGCAGAAAGTTGTCATCTTGTGCCCTGTGGCTAATGAGCTCCAAATTCAGCCCAAATCTTATGTTCCTTACTTAGCAGCCTGATTAATTGGCTGTGTTCATTCCCTGAATGCTCTGCAGCATGTTCCCACTCTTCCTGAGCCTGACTACTAGCAGGACATGACAATAATTTGGAAGAGTCCCTTTCAGAGCACTGAAAAAAAGGGCCTGTCGAGTTGGAAGAAATCCTGATGCAAACCCTGCTGTGCTTGGACTGTCTTTCACTACAAAGTAGCACCTGTTGGTGCTTTTTCTCTTGACAACTAAGAAACAATATGAAAGCGTGATGAACACAAGGAAGGAAAGTGTGAGAGGGTTTTATAAAGAAATGGCTCTAATTATTTCAGAACCTTTGCTTTGAATCATTGTCAGCCAATGCACATCTTAATTTATTTTCCTGATGCATCAGATTTCCCTCATTATCAGTGACAAATAGATCCTCTCCTGCTCTGCTTTGACAGCATTGTAATCTGGAGTAAATGACACTCAAATTTATAGCTCCCTGTAGGCTTTTGTTTTCCCCTATGTAATTGAGGGATTGTTAATGTTTTCATGTCCTGACAAACTGCGTTCTTGGAATACCACAAAAAGGTTTTACATAAACTACCAAAATGCTCCTCTCTTGATTACTTGCCTGCAACAGGTCACTAAGAAAAAGTTACATAAACTACCAAAATGCTCCTCTCTTGGTTTATTACTTGCCTGCAACAGGTCACTAAGAAGAAGTCAGTCATGTTTTTTGTGGGGGTCCCATGGCATAGAGAGGCACTGTTTGCCCACATGACAAAGGCACACGCAGCTAGAGTGACCTGTACCAAACACAGTCACAGAGCAGGGCCCTAAACGATGTTTATGCTGGCCGCAGCCAGGTTAAGTTTTAAAAGAGCTGTAGTTGTCCTATGCATCTTATGAATCAAAGTGCACGCAGACCTGCAACAAGCACCTGAAGTAGCATATATTTATGGCATCATGGATAGTAACAGTATTTAACCGCGCCGCGTAAAAATAACTAAAGAATTTTGGAGTTGTACATGTAGTACACAGATCTTAAAAGCATGAAAATAACTGCCACACAGAGGTTTACTTACAATTATTTGTTGACAATGAAGATGCCTAACATTCTTGGCTATTCCTTCTGAACAAAAAAGAAGAAACCTAAAGCCTACCAGCTGCATTCAGCTACCCAGCCAGCATTTGTGGAAGAGCGCATGACCAGCAATTCTCTTTCAAATGACCGGCGTGAATACTGCTAGTAAGTCATATCCTAATCTAAAGATTCATCATTTATTTAGGAGTAAATAGTTCACATAGGTATGTATTTAAATGATGGAAACATGCTGACTCCCCCCCCCCCAAAAAAAATCAAACTCGCAACAACTGAGCAGTAGCTTTTTACAATCTAATATTAATTATACTCACAATGATGTAACGGATCACTTTGCATTTTTGTAGTGCCATCATCATGGGTGATCCACAAACATTTTTTAAATGAACTGCCCAGATACAAAGGAAACCTTTAACCTACCCCCAGAGAGCAACAGCTACTAAGTGAAGTATGGCAGCTGTGATACTTCCCAGGGAGCAAGGTCAGAAGTAAGGACTGTAATCACAAAAAATTAAAAGCACAACAGATCTTTAATACTACTAAAAAATTAAAAAAACACGCTTAGCCAGGACAGCAGCAACAGGAAGATCAAGATTTTGCACAGTGGCAGTAATCTGACAACAAAGAACGGTCAAGAACTTTGTTGTTCATATCTAAGTTGCAACATATTTTGCAATTCATACTGTCAGCCCACTGTTGTGTGGTCTGCACGCTAACTGTGCCACACACATCAGCACTAACGGATTATGTGTTTCTGAAAACCACACACTGTGCTATGACTCTGGCAAGATAAGCAGCAGCAGAGATAGGAAGTTCATGATTTGACCTAATAAAATGAGAAATATCTTGAAGGAGGCTGCATCAGAGAAGTAATACCTCAGTGCTCCAAGGACCACAGCTCTCCAAAGAAATTAGAAAGTACTGCTTCTCCCATGTTTCAGATTCATTCTAAAAAGCGATCAGAATTAACTCTGTTTCTGTGGCATAAAGGAGACCTATACAGATCTTACTGCTCCAACATATAAGTGCATGATGCCGAATTAACACAATCCAACATATAGACAAAAGTTATATTGGTCAACAGAGGCACATCCCATTCTTGGCTTGTTTATTCCTCTCTCTCAACTTTCTGCTTGTCGTCTTCTGTATTGCTTCACTGACTATCTCCCATTCACTCCGCAGCAAGATTTTAATGTCATCACAAATTACAGGACCAAATGCCTGCTGAGTGTCAGTCCACCTGTGCCCTCACACAGCTCTCAACTTACAAAGATCAAACCTCCGGACCCATCAAAAAGGAGGAGGAGAAAGGAAAAGTTATGCCTGAAGATGGGCACATAGGACAGGGGCATCTGAACTCTGTGTCTCTGGTCTGAACAATTCTCAGCTCCCAGATACTCTTTTCTGACTGACTGTAGGTTAATTGAAGCACAGATACAGTTTTAGAGAACTCACAAATTTGGCATACAGCCTTGAGATCACAGTTCCGCTGCTTCTACAGACAGCTCAGGGTCACAGCCACCCTCAGGCAAGCACTGTGACAATAAGCATTGATGATCTTCAAATTACTCGGAGCAGAGCCACTTGTCTGGAGCTGATGAAGTCTGACTGACCTGAGCTACCTCTGCGCTGGGCTGACTGCATCCCACACGAACTCATAATACATGTTTTCTTCCATCTCCCAGGACATCCACGCTCTACCCAGGCCCTCCATTGCTCCAGACAACAGGAATCTGACTGGTCCAGCACTGCCAGCTGATGGGGAACATATCTTTCTGCCTCTCTAGCCACACTGATAGCAAATTAATTTCCTTTATAGAGAAGGATGACCCCTACAGCATTACTGAGATACCAGTAGCAATTTTCTTTTTGCAATCTCGAAAAAGAGTCAACATGGGTTAACAGTAAAGGCCCAGGCACCAAGACAGCTGAACCCTGATAAAAAGAGGCAATGGATGAGTGGCAGACAGGCGGTGATATTCTGGAACAAGCAGTCTTGTACGCTGCAGGGAAGCAGAATGAACACTCTGGGCTGGAAGGACCTGGCTGAATGGAGGGGTACCTCTAACATGTGTGGCATGGAAATCCACTGAATTCTGCTGACACACTGTAACGTGTTTGAGGCAATTACAGTTCAGTACCAAAGCGGTACACCAGAAAGATAATTATGCAATCTGGAAGCATCTGAACTAAATGAAATGAACAACAAAAAGCTGGAGGCAGATGAGAATTGTCTAAAACACAGTGAATATAAAGTAGAAAGATCTTCGGGCAAGTGAAGTCAGAAAGAGAGGAAGACAAGGGAAAAACACACAACTGAAACCAGGGCACAGGACTTTCTGCAATAAAAAGAAATAAAAAGATAAGCTGGGACGCTGAACAACTTTCCCTGGTACTCTGTCATGCATTTTCGTTGCAAATGTAAATAAGGTCAGCCTCTCCTGGAGGCTCAATGTAGACTGGTGTGGAGTATGTGGGGATACAACCAAACTGTGCTTACTGGAGGTACAAACCCAGAGGAATGCATGTGGATGTTCTGCTCCTCATATCTCCCAGTTCACTCCAGAGTGGAAAAAGAACAAAAACTCCAGAATACAACAGTCCACAACGCAGTTAAAATCAGAAAATATAGCCTAGAGCAGCTCCTCATGTATGTATGCCCGTAAGACAAAAAAACCATACGGCATTTGGAAAAGCCTGAAGGAAAGAGATGAAGTACAAAGTTGTTATTCCAGTTCCTTGGAATTAAGGGTAGTAAACTGGATAAATTAATTTAGTCCCTTCGCAGCTGACCTCTGAAACAGCACAAAGTTATAGTCATACTGGAGTTAAAAAGCACTCAAGAGCTGGGGTCAGGAAAACTTGACAGATTTCATCTTCTAATAGTGATGAAAAGATTGGAGAACAGAACGGCCCAGAGAATCTGCCTGATGTTGTACATATGCTGTTAATTTGCATTTCATTTTGTACTCAGAGCTGTACCAGTAACTCCTGAAAGCATAAGGCAACAATTAATATTGAGACTATAAACAATCAACACTGCCCATACTGCAGCACCTGCTAGCACACAGCTATCCTGCCAGGCAATCTCCTCTGAATTTATTTTCTTCCATTGTGAGAACAAATGTTTCAGTGCTCCCTTAGGCAAAACACATATGGACAGTTGATTCATGGCAGGTGGCATCTCATTTTTCTAAGAATACAAAAGGTAATATATACCTGTTATTTTAACTTCTGAACATGCTTGGCTTTCAGCTTGGTTCTAACTTGCTATTTTTTTCAGCTACAATCACAAATAGCAGTATATCAAACCGTTTGATTTGGAGGCATTAATACAGGTATTTAAATAAGAATAACATCAACTGGAAGAAGTAAAGCAAATTCCCAAGAGACCATACAGCACCTTTATCTACCTCAGTAAAGAAAAAACCCTGTACAATTCTTAAACTACAGAGCTTATCAATCTCAAAGCACTTCACTGACAGTAGGTGGCTGTTCTCAGTCTACAGGAAAAGTCAGGCCCAGCTAGATGCAGGTAAATGGGAGGTGGAGCCAGGAATATCATACATACTGACTTATTTTTGGTGTTACCTACAGAAAAAAAAGGCAGAATGGATTTAAACACAAGCGTTACATTGAAGTAAATTTTCAACTCTCTTTTTCCTTCTGAATCCCCAGACTTCCAGATCTGTAACAGAGAATGCAGCTGCCTCAAGGGCCAGAGACTAGAATGAAAGCTAGGTCAGTGTATCTCCATTATGTGCTTAAAGTAGTGGAGAAATTGCTGTGTACACTCTACATGTATTTAAAAGAAAAAAAAAAAAGACAGGGAAAAAAAAAAGACGACGACCAATCTTTTGTAAGGTAATGTTTTGTTTTTAAATGTCAGCTTTATCCATCTGAAAGAATGTCACCTAGAGAAATAGTTGAACTTTCCCATGAGTGACAGTGTGCTCTATTGAAACAGACAGAGGGTTTAATCTATGACTGAATTTACCTGGGCCAAGTTCATCCATAGGTATCATATCACGACTCCCAGCCTTCTCATTATCTATAAAACAGAAACATTGAAATGACTTGAGTTACATTTGCTTTTCTCAAAACTTGGTATTTTTAAATTAGTCACAGGACCAGAGAGGTCCATAAAGTACTGAACGCAGAGACTGTTGTAAAAAAAGAAAACAAAAACCAAAAAAACCCACCAAAACAAAAAAAACCCCACAACCCAAACTATTCAACTGTTATCCATTCAGAATGGGAAGTTTGATTTAAGCTCTCCAGAGAGCATATGTAATCCTTATATTTTCTGCTTTGGCACTGTAATATAGAACTCCCTCTCTCCAAGCGATAACAGAAACCGCAATTCTGCTGTGGACTACCTACTGCCATTAACGAGCTTCTCTCTGGTCTCTCCAGAATAGAAGAGAAAGAAAGAAAGTACGGGTGCAGCTTCACGTGGCACACAATCCAACCTAGCAGCCTACCGAGCCAACAGAAAGCTGACCCACAAAGAAAACAAGAAGTTTATTGTCAGATCAAACTGACCCAAGTCATCCTCTATCTGCATAATCTGCCAGATTTGATCAAAGACAGGGAAGGTGGAAACAGGCAGGGCAGTGTGGGGCTGTCTTTTCTGCAGTAACCAAAGACAGGGAAGGTGGAAACAGGCAGGGAAGTGTGGGGCTGTCTTTTCTGCAGTTAAACCAGGTAAAGTGCAACATGGCAAGCTCTGCTGTAGGAGACTAAAGATTTCTGAAAAGAAATTGACATCTGAGCATTAGAAACTAGAACCAGATTCAGAGACAAAGCAATCATAATGAAATTAAAGCTGGAGCTACACCAGTGTTGGTATGGCTGCATCAGGCCTCATGAAAAAAGCACAGACAGGTTTAGCTAGCGTTTGGATAAACCATCTCCAATGGAAAAAACTGCACAGTAGAGGAAGAAGCACTGCCAAAACAGGCACATTTATTTAGAAAGGAAAAGACTCCAGTACTGAGTAGGGGTAAGGCCAAGCCCACTGCCTGGCTGAAGGCTAGGTTTATTAATATATAACATTGTCAAACAAGGCTGTTCTCCTCTTTCAAAGTGCCAATTTACGTCTATCCCAAATTCTCCCAGGAAGACGTAACTAATTATGTTGCATACAAGTTAAGAAAACAACATCAGTAGTGTACATTTCGCAAGGGAAGGAATACTATCCATATCCAGCTAACAGGACTGATCATTTTGGGACTGTGGGTAAAAATCACCACACAAGTACTACATTTTTACCCCCTCATGCTGTAACACAGATGTGGCAAATCCAGAAAACAAGCAAGCAAAGCACAGTAGAAAAAGTGATAAAGAGCAGAACTGACCTTGACTTTTATCCACCAGAGGCAAAGTGCTGTCGTCATAGCCAGACCTGCCAGCAGTACCTTTGGAACTCTTTGGAGTTGCAGAAACAGACTAGGAGACAAAAATCACATAAATACAAAATTGCTACTCAGGGAAATTGAACAAGAAAAATAAACACACCAACAGTATGGAGAGAGATTATGGAATGCTGCTAAGCCCCCCTTTTGTCGATAATATGGCACTGGATTATTTTTTATTTTCATATAGATTTGTCGGTGGAATTTTTTTCCTGTTATCTAAACGGCAGCATTGTTGGTCTGTAAAAGGAGCAAAACCTTTTCACAAGGAAAGATGAGGAGGCTGCATGTCAAGAACAGGTGGCTGCCCTGCGCTGCTAGATGGAATGTTTCAAATGAGAGACAACTAAGAAAAGACATGCTAATTCTTCCTCCAGTAAAGCATAAGCAGTTGGCCTATACAAGGTGGCATACTTCCAAAACCTAAAAAGATACATTTCACAGACCACTGGAAAACATACCCAGCAAGTATATGCATGATGCTGTGACTGAATAGATTACCATACATTGTTCTATCACCTAGAAGAACAGAACCAAAGCCCACAATCTATCAGACTGTAATACTAGACTAAGTTAGGACATCTTCCACTCAGGCATTTCCATAACTAAATCTAAGACCCAGCATCTTTACCTGGAAGTGTGATTTGTTCCACCCATCCTTCTGCAGGGCATTTCGTAGTTCTTTATAGCTCCACATCATCTGAAGAACGTGAGATGCTGCTTTTGTTTCTCTCGGAGACTGACTGATTTGCAAAATAAAATTAGAGCTTAAGTATTAAGCAATATAAGACTATTCATATGTTGACCTCTCTGCACAAAAACAATATCCAGGAGATAACCTAGTACTCCATACAGCTATTCTTTGAACCTATAAGCTATAGGATATATGTGAAATCATTCAGTGACTTCTTCATATCTATAGATATTTGTTGACAAAAAAAGAAATCCAAACAAAAGTTGTAATTTGTGCAGATTTCTGGGTTTTCAAGTGTATTGTTGGGCAAGCACTGAGGCCAGGCTGACCCTTTTGTCTTGTACCTGTCATTAACAAAAAACAGTGGATTCCATCCTGCCTGGATTTATTTAGAAAAAAACCCAACGAAACAAATTATAAGCCACTTCTCAAAACTTCACCCCAACTTACATATATTTCTCACAATTCAATGAAGTTGCTTCATGGTTTAGAATACCGTACGAAACAATTTGGGTCAGAAAAAATAAGCTATTTTTAAACAGAAAATGAAATTTTATCCATTCCTTACTAAGTCAGTACACCAGCACCCTCTATAAAATAATACAGGGCTAGATTCTTGGTTGGCTCTCATATTTCATAACAATGCAACCCAACAAAGTGTTCAGCTACTCTCCCAAAAGTTTGCTGAAAACACACCTATAACGTCTAACTGGCTGAACTACATGAAACAAACTTTTCTCTAAAGCAGTCAGAATACAGTTTTCAACAGAACTGCTGAGTGAAAATTTGTCACTTCAAATTACCACCACCAGCCCTTCGGCCAGAACGATTACTGCACGTGATTAACCATTTTACTTAAAAGAAACAGATTTTACCGCTGGCATTCCAGGAATGGAACGCTGCCACAGGAAAAAGGCCTCCCACACTAAAAATAAAGATCATGGTTTCACTGCAAATGATGTCTGCTAAATGCATACATGGTGCTAAGATGTATCTGACAAGGAGAGAGCATGTCTTAACATGACTGAAGTGGCTACTCTTTTTTTTTAATCAAGTAAATTAAAGGTGCTGACTGTTTTTACTGCGTATATATTAATTGCTCTGAAATTAAAGGCTCGGAAAGGTTAGGATGCTTGAATACTTTCACAAAGCAAAAGCTGCTGTTCATAGTGACATTTTCATGTTTGCAGTGAGCTCTCATGCATTTTGCTTTCAACTGTCACTTACCTTGACTTGCTGATAGCTACCAGCTTCTGAATGCCCTGTGTCTGGATCAGAGACCTTGCATTTTCTGAGCTGTCAGTAATGATTTCATGGATGGTATTCAACACTGCAACCACTGTATCCTCCTCCAGGTTCTTTGCAGATCTCTGCTGCCTGCTGGGCAAATTTCTTACCAGCTCACCCATGGCATAACTACCTAGATAAGGGGAAGAGATACCATTAGTCAGCCCTAATAATAATTTCAGCTTCCCATCCTGAATGATAAAACTCAAGGGTGTTTGCCAGGTCAAAAAACTTCATAATGCACGTGTTTTGAACCTCAAGACTGTAACCTAACAGTGTATTTATCATTCATTATTTCAAGGTGATTGAGAGTTGATACCTAAGACAAACTCCTTCATCATGAACGCTAAAAAGTATTGAGGAAAGAAAAAAAAGCAATCTTTATTGAGAATTTTGCAGCCAGCATCTATCATACTTTGCAATGCCTGAGGCAAAAAGCATCCAGTAGCTGCTGCTAATGCCACATATTCATGCTAATACACGCACATGGCTTACTCAACTTAGCCTTGTAATAGGCCTTCTGGGGCAAGGTGTGCAGCCATGCATTTATTAACCTTCCCCCAGCAAAGGTAAGAGTATTTCCTCCTGGGTGCAGTTAGCCTTCTCAGTATATAGTACTGGAGGAAAAAAAGAGTCCAGAGTTTATCACTCCCAGGTGTTCGTCTGTACCATTTGCCTAGCTACACCTCTGAACTATTAAAAAAAGAACCTGATGTATTAAGGCAGAATCCCACCTTGCTATTTGTTAGTATCAACTCGGATGACGGCCCTAAACGTGTGACCAGTATTTCCTGGCCTGACAAGGTTATAGTTTAAACAAATACATCAGTTAAATACAGAGGCATCCAGAGGAAAACAACTCACAGCTGTGTCTTTCAGATTCCTGCTTATGGGCAGATGAATGCTTATTTACCCCCTTGGATAGGAGCTAGTGAGCACTGCTAACCTGAAGAAGAGTAAGTTGTTTGGTGCCCAGCTTCTACAAGCAACTACCATGCAAAAGGATGAGAAGGGAAGGAGGAAGCGAGAAAAAAGGAACAACTTTAGAGCCCACTGTGCTTCCCCAGGTTAGTTCAGCATGCCAAGGGCAAGACTCCCACTCTAATCTAAATAGCAGGCCTAAGAAGCAACGTCTCTGTAACCACCATGTGCGACTGGGAGCACAAGTGCCAAGTCAGCCAGAGCTAAGGAAGAAACAAGAAACCTCTTAACCCACTCACTCCTCTACACACCTACACACACTCCCCTCTCCTGCAAAAACCTACATCTGTTTTTACTGCTGAGTTAGAGATTTCCCCTCAAACCATGGCTTGTTTGAATGGGCTGGAAATACATTCTGAGATGATAGCCCTCCACTTGATGGCTACAGAGTAATCTCAGATAGTGCGGATTGAAACTACATACAAAATGAATCCTCAGCACAAGTGACAGAAAACGTGAGGTCTCTCAAGGGTATCCAAGATCCCAGCCTGGTTAGAAAAGTTCAGAAGATACCTATAAGATCTTTATTGCGACGATCCATGGAAAGGTTTCTCAGGGCAATTGACACAGCCCTCACAACCTTGTCAGAGTCGGACTGGAGCAGCTCCACAAGCACTGGTAAGCCTCTCTCCTTCCGCACTGTTGCACGGATGTACGTGGACCACTGATCAGAACACACAAGGGAAAAGAAAGAACACAAAGTATTGTCAGTTCATATACCTGCCCTTTCCTTGCCCCTGGCATTTCTTTCAGTGCTGTAATTCATTTTTTTTTCCCTGCAAAGACTAGTTAGGTTGTGTGTGCTGATGCATCTATAACTTAACCCATCATTCAAGTTCATCAAGCACCAAGGAAGAAAGGATGTAGAAGTTCATCCTACAGCTTAACAAGCTGCTGGGGAAAGAGGACAGAAATAGAAGGAAGGAGCATCATCCACCAGCATCTGTTCTGTACACACCTCAGTGTGAAAACACATCCCTCTGGATTAGGAAAAAAAGAGGTCATTGGGAGGGAACAGTAAAGCACCCAAAGCATCTGTTATCTTCCCCCACCTCCAATTTCATGCTTTTATTCTGTTTCATGATTGATTTTTAAATAAACTGTATTCAAGACAGCTGTGAAACACCACCCTGCTGATCCTCAGGCTGCTGATCAGTCCCACTTTGCCCTGCAGTTCTAGAAGTGATCAGGCATACCTTTGAGAGAACTGCCTGATTAGTGCTGGGGATGCTTCAGATAGGATATCAGAGGACACTCTGGAGTGCAGTTTCCTGAACAATCTGACAATCCAATGAACTAAGTATTCTGGACACTTAATCATCTAACAACAGGCTTTTCTGAATGGACAAAGCAATGGTTAAGTGGTTTACGTAGTAAAACCTGCCCATGGTTAAATCATCATGAGCTCAGTGACACTTCCACTATGTAAACACCATCTGTCCAGAAGATGCAATACATCTTAAGTGGGCAAATAAGATGGAAATAATTTCTCTGGGGTTCCCACCTCCTTCCTTTTTAAAGGAGATGTAAAGGCACAAAGTAACAGCGCACTTACAACAGGACCTAGCTTTGTTCTTTATTTACACAAAGGAAACATAAGAGACTAAAGAGAAGACTGCACTCACCGTCCAGTTGCCAGCACTGAGATTCTGCAAAGCCCCTGCTGCAGCTTCCAGAGTGTTAAAGTTCTGACTTTCAGTGAGGATGGAGAGGTACAGTCGGACCACATCTGGCTGGTACAGTAATTCAAAGCCTGCAGATGGGGGAAGAGGAGAACAGAAGCAAGAGAAGCAGAGAAGGCAATGTATGAATAAACACATAACATACCTCTATTTAATCACATATGAGAACAGCCAAGAGAAAGCTACACCACAGAAAGAAGGGCTTCTGACACGTCCAGGACATTTTATCCACAGTTGTTGAAAATGGTGCACTCAGGAACTCATGCACAGGACATTCACCTGGGCTGAAAGTTCCTTTGCTTGTCTTCAGGTTGTCAATTCTTTCTGAAATCTGTGCTATGCTACAAACTGCCTAGCAGGCTGAGTATACGTGTGTAATAACAAGGTGACAAGAGACAATTTTTGTCTGTAACAATTCTTACTTTGCATCTCTAGATTGGGTTGCAAATTCACCTTGCACTCCTGTTTTCATTCAAATCTAGCTCAGTACCTTTACAGACACAAAAAACGGGGACAAAGAGAGCAAGCTACACAATCATATCAGCCACCCCCTTCTCACACCTAGGTGACAAAAGAAAGATGCAAGATGTCAAAGCGACTAGAAGCCCCAGTTGGTAGGGACAGGGAGAAATGCTGACTCCAGTTCAAATATTAGGTACAGAAATACACCAGCGTCATACCACATTGGGAGACTGCAACAGACACACACGTTAACTAAATATCCCCAGAGTCACTGGATCAGCTTTGCAGTTTAAGCACAACAGGAATGAGAACTATTCCCAGCTCTGCCACAGATTTCCTTTTGTGATGCTGAGTAACTGACAGTAGCATCCGTGTCTTGACTTCCTCATCCAAAGGATTAGGATTTATGCATCTACCCATATTCAAAAGGGGATCTTGGGCAAGAAGTTCCAAGTTGTTGCATATTTCGAAGCCATTTTTACCCACCTTTCTTCACTAAGTGTGGCATGACACACTGCATCGATGAGGGAAGAGTATGCAAGCATCCAGTTAAAGGACTTGCCAGACAAACACAATCTCAAAGATCACGGTGCTGTTCAGATTACGTGAACAAAAAACTAAACCCCCTAAAGTGTTTTGGTGAGTGCAGGAAGGCACAAGCAACCTATGGTCAACGTAGACTCATCTGCAGTCACTGTAGCTGGAAGATATTTCTGGATTGGTGGCTTTTGGGGTGTTTCCAATAAATAAAGTTCAGCAGGCATTACCTAGGAAAGGACTTTTGGAAAAACGTGACATGAAAGAAAGCATAAAGGTGTGAATTAGTTTCGACAAAGAGGAAATTTGAAGCTTGTTTTGAGCAGAAGAATTTTTTTTTTTATTTGTACACATGAAAAGAATGTTTTTCACATAACAAGATGCTGTCCTAGAAGTGTAGCATAATTCAAAGCAAGTTTTCCACTAGCAAGACAGGAAACCTACAAACACAAATCACTCCCTCTCGTTAGTACTTTCTCTTCAAAATCACCCATCTCTCATATAAATATGTTTCAGCACATATCACAGATTATCCTATTTCAGACATCTCAGATCAAACCTAGAAGCAAGAAAACTGAACAATACTATCCTATCAAGTGGATATCCTATCAATTTTTTTCTTTTTAAAATTCTCTGTTGCTAAAGGCTTTCTAAAATCAAAGCCTTTCATTTCAAATCTAACTGTTTCTCCACATTTTTCATACTAGTTATTGCTGTGGGACTATACGAGTCAAGATCTCAGAACTCAATACTTTAAACCTTGTATAACACTACCCATAAACACAGGCCATGTTAACCCCCTGGATATAGAGGGCTTATTTATCCCACTGAAAGCAAGAAAATACACTTCATCAGCCAAGGGTTTCTTTGCTCCATACCAAAAAAATGATCTATGCATGAGGATCCATGAGATCCCACATGCTGGCCCATACTTTCCCTGCTCAGCTTCTCACACGCATCCCAGCACACTTGCATTCTTCTCAAACGACTGGGTAGTTAACCTGCTCCATGTCTGTGACTGGTTTTAATGCCACCACTTGCTTGCTACATGACACCCTACAGATATGTGCAAGCTGCAACAGATGGCAATCCCCGAACGCCAATCCATACCACTTACTTTCCTCTTCTCCAGTGTCCTCTCCTTGCGTTGGGATCATTGCCCTCTATATTGAATGCTGAGAAAAACTGTGGTTACCTAATACATGAAGCATGAACAGTTGTATAGCTTTTCTCCATTCCTTGAATAAGTTTGTGATTATCTGACTCCAATATGACCTTCATATCACCTTTTTCCTCTGCCACTTCACAAGGTGAATTGGCAATCTAAGAACTCCTCAAGAAAAAACACCGCTGCCTGATAAGCGTGCAGTATTCCTTTCCTGAACACTTATACTTAAAAATCTCTTAGGATAGCTTACTGGAATTTTGACACTGTTATCTTTTAAAGAAGCTTTGCTGAAATGTAAATCAGATCAGCAAAAGAGATGAAGGCATGTTCATTAACAGATAATATTCATACAGAACATTTACCGCTTTTGCATGAGAGCTCAGACTTGCTTGTGGTTGAATAGTATGCAATTGTTCAGCCAGTCTTCTCTGATGGCTTTGTTTTAAAGTGCCTAGCGATAATTTTGGCATGCTAGGAAACAGCCCCACACGTTCACCCTCCCCTGTCATTTAAATGCAGTCTACAACGTGCCCTTTCTGTCAGTCTGTACATTCCTTTTTGGCTGGACACTATTCCTTCTTTGGAGCACCTCACTGTGTATGAATACTAAGATGCAACAACCCGCTCACCTCCGCTTACCTCCTGTGGACAGAGCTGCATTCCAGTCACGCACCTCCCACCCGCCTTCTGTCATTACTTCTCTTCATGCATGAAAACCTCTCCTTTTTCCTACTTACTAATGTAAGAGCATCTCAAAAACGTCTTCACCTTCTCTCTTCAATAATTCACAGCATTTCCTCTACCAATTACCAGTGCATTTCTGCTTTGGGGCGTAACCCCTTAGCCAGTTTGGTGGATGATTCTCACCTCGCTCCACACATCCCCACATTCCAACTACATTTAGGCTTCTGCCCCATTAGCATCTGTTTTAAACAGAGTTAGCAAGTGCTACGCACCATACATGAAACTCTGTCCTCCCTTATGTCTCCCCCCTCCCCTCAACTGCTGCATGCTTCCAGCACTGCAGCACTTCTGTGTCAGCCTGGCTATGCCAGAAAAAGGCAGGCAGGAGTTGCTAAAACAAAGTATTATGAATGCCCCTCATGGATGGCTGCTCATTAGCAGAGATGAGAACCTAATAGCGAGAAAGTTACTGCTGCACCGGAGGGTTCTTCCCTCATTGACAGCAAGCTGACACTTTTCCTAAGTGTTATAGTCCCTTAAAAAGAAACAAACAAGTTTTATATTTTCTCCATCTGCCTCCTGTCCTAATGAATCCAGCTCTGCTATTTATAGGATGCAATTTGTCTGAATTATTATAAATTTCCTTCCAGTGTTGTGTGGAGGCCTCGCACATTCTTCCATGAAGCGCTTCAAGCACGTTCCTGGGAAGCACAGCTGGTCTCACCTCCATTAAGCACCTGCTTCTCTTCAAAACTGATTTCCTTAATTTCAAGATCATCTTAATTATTTTTTCAGGTAATGCTACTTTTGTGCAATATACGGCTAATGGCTTATATCCATTTTTTAAATGGAAATGAGAAAAGAGGGTCATTAGTGATAGGTAAGACATCAAATGAGAAAAACATCCACTGTTTTTCTTTTTCTTTAAAAAGCTGTTTTAATTATAGCCCAGATTCAGCACTGCCCTTAAAAAGATAATTTCTCCCAAAATAAATGAGACTTTTCCATGGGTTACAGATTTGTGCTGAGTTGCAATCTACACTGTTTCCTCCTGGAAAAGCATGAGGTTAAGTCATTTATTGCTTTTTTTCATTGCAGAAAGCAAAGTAAACAAGCTCACTATATTAGCTTTTGCCTTTTAGAGAAATGGAAAATGCCTTGGACGCTGATGTCATTGTGAGTGTCAGACATTTTACAGCATCTAAGCATTCCCCCCAGCTAATGGCATGAATGTGTATACAAAGGAAGATCTTCCACATTAGACTCATCTTCACCAACATGCTGTAGTCTCATCTTTCTGAAAAAAGAAAGATGATGATCTTCGCAGCAGAGTTGCTCAGAATTGGCAAATGGATTCGTTCTGTGTGAAGTTCATCTAGCAGGAGGTGCCAAGTAGATTATCCTTTATTTGCCCACAGAACAGTGACAGCACAGACAGCAATTTCAATCCTGAATGGAAAACACCTGAGGAATTAACTGGGGGTGCTTAGCCATCTCGATCCATTCAACCCTCAGTCCCTGTGCTGAGAACGATGCAGCAGTTCCTGGATTATCTCCTCCACAAACCTATTTGCTTTCATCTTGGCAATGCTGATCCTGTGTCTATACTTAGCTACATTCTGGCAATAACATAAAATATTGCACCAGGTGCCTCTCTCTGATACGCCAGCTTAATCCCAAATTCAGACAACTCTCTTTGGAGCAAGGTTGCCAAACCTATTCCCCTTCACCACCCATCCCATTTAGGATTTATTCTCCCCCTACAGGCACGGGAAATTATACACATGTGGATACTGGTCAGATGAGAGTTCTCCTACTGCTCTAGCAGAAATGTCCTGCCTCATTTTCTATCCCTACAAAAACTCTGGGTTGCTGTTTAAAAAGGGAGGCAATTTCATACGAAGCTGGAAGGACACTGGCAACACTGTAGGAAAAATGAAAGAAACCCTAGACCTAGGGGGGAAAAAAAAAAAGATCACTAAAACAAACTCTGATAGCTACTCATTCTTGCAGTGTCCATAGGTCTGTTTACATCAGTGTTTTGATTCGAACCAGTTTTGAAGCGAATTTCCCTCACTTACTGCACTATGGTTCCCAACACAGAGAAGCGGCATCACCACCTGTACTCCTTTTGGGATGAAACTAAACCAGGAGATGCACTCCAGGACCACACCGAGGGTGTGCTGACCAGGAATGGAAGTTCAAGGGCTGATCAGCCTG